CCTCAAAATGTCCATTTGAGGGCACTGCTTCCTCTGGTGGCAATAGAACCAGTTGCATAGGCACCCTGTTGACAGTAAATTCCGGTGATATTACCGGCTGGTGTACGTTGGCAGAGCTGGCCCACCACTCAAAGACACACTATGTTTGTCCATGGCTCCTCAGATTCCTTCTGAGCCCCACCTGTGGGTAGGACCCAGCTGAGCTCTCAGGACTTAGTGTTCACTCCCACCTGGTCCCAACACCTCAGATCCTCAGGCTCGAGGGCACAGCAAGCAAGGATGGGAGGAGATGGAAGAAGCTTGTGAATAGGAGGAAAAAGACAAATATGCAGGCCCTGGGAGAGTGGGACACCAGGGAAGGCTTGTTGAGGGACTAGGTGGGACTGACCCACCAGCCACAAATCCTGTTTGTCTCACATGATGGTCAAGACATTCCGGGAACTTGGCACTTGGCGACCAGGTCTTGTGAAGAAAGAAGTCTCCTGGTGAAATGTAGCTACTGTGAAGCTGTGGCCAAGCCCCCGTTGAGGATCCTGGGTCTCTGAGGCATAGCTGAAGCAGCAGAGGATGCAAGTGATGGCCACGGTGACCACAAACAATACCGCCACCACCCCAATCACTGCTGCTTCCATGGCAGTGGTGGCATCTGACTGGCTGAGCAATGTGGGTGTTCTTGGAGCCTTAACTCCCCATCCAAACTGGGGGAGGAGTGTGTTTTGGTGACCGCAGGGGCCCTGTGCTGGGCAGTTGCTTTCCCCTTGGCCTTCTCAGATGCTGGTCCGAGGTCCCGGGTCCTGCTACCCTATGCTGTCGTGTGCCCGTTCTGCTGGGATCTCAAATGATCTTTTCTGTTTTCTAAGTCTCAGGCAAGGCCTCCAGGGCTGTGGTCAACTCCACTGGCAGCTTCTAGAAGAAGCTGTCCCAGAAGATGTAAGCAGAAGACTCCCTGGACATGGAGGAGGTGGGGAGAAGAGTCAGAAGATGTTACTCAGAGGGAACCAGGCCAGCACTGGCGCTCTGTGACGCCTCCAGATTTCAAGAACGATTGTACAGTTGGGCGAAAGACAAAATACTCCCCCTTGGTGGATCCAGGAGGATTCTAGCTCTTCTCCTTGAGACTCCTGGAGAGTCCAAGGTCCTTGAATCTACCTCTGCTGCTTCCTCCAAGCCCTGGCCCTGGGCTGGGGGCAGGGACGCCTGCGCAGAAGAAGGCAAGTGCCAGCTCTGGGCAAAGTGTGTGTGGGGGGGTGTAGTGGGGGAGCATTCACAGGTCACCACCGATGCCAGGGGACCTTCGACAGGGGAGGAAGGATAGGCGAGCATGCTACATTCAACCTCCCTTTCTGTGTGGGATCAGAGCCTGTGGCTTAGATGGGTAGGGCCTGCTCTACCCTCTTCAAAAACACACGTGGGGCTCTCTCACCCTAAGGTGCCAGAAGAAACCTTCTTCTGTGCCAGCCTCGCCCAGCCCTTGTTGCTGCTCACACTAGGGGCAGTGAAGACTTACCTGGGCTCCCTGAGAACCAGCCCGGGCTGTGTCTGGTGCTCCTTGCATGGTGACCACCCAGGGACCATGACGAAGCTCTCTGGATGCTGCTGTTGATCCTGCCTGGAACTTGGCTCCAGCATTTCTGAGCAGCTGTAAGTACTTCCTGAATCCTATCCTCCAATTGTGCTGGAGGGCCCAGGACCCACAGCCACCACCCCCTCAGTGACAGCATTTACCCCCCCACACGCCCACACACACACAGTGTCATTCCTACCCTGCCCCTAGCTAGGAATGAGGGGCATGAGTCAGGTCAGGTCACTAGGTAAGTCTGCCAGAAGGGCCTCCATCCTGGCCCTCAGTCACACCCAATGCCTCCTGAAATTCCACCACTGCCAGAAGGAAGTCTGGGTCATCAGCCACTTTACCCAGATTCTGAGGAATGGAGTGGTAAGAAACAGTAAATCCAAGCCCTGGACACAGCCAGGCACTAACTACCTGCGACTCTTCCCCACCACCCTGTGCAGCTATACCACCTCCATTGTACAGACACAGACGCAGCTTGTCTCAGGGCTGGAATGTCCTGCCTGTGGCCAGGTGATCAAGCTGCCGCTTCCCTCCCTCCTCTCCTAGCTCAGTGCTGTCTCCAAGTCCCATGAGACCACAGAGTGATCACCCGACTCTGCAGTTTTACTGATCAGGGTGCCAAGCCCCAGAGAGGGCAGAGGGCTGGCCCAAGGTCTCACAGCCTGGGACCTTTCCAAGTTCTCCAAGGCCCAGGGTCAGTACCAGGGTTAGGAAACTGCCTGTGCACAGAGTGGGAGAGCAATTGATGCACTGCTTGGACAGTCTGCGTTCCAGCCCCACATGGGCACAGGAAGCCAGACACCTCAGACCATTCGTCTTAACTGGAGCAGCCAGAAGCAGACAGAAATGACTGTGGTGCACCAATCACAGTGCCTGGGGTGACCAATTGAACCCCCAATATGGCCTTGTTAACCTGGGTGATGGGGCCCTAAAGGACTGTGTTTTGGGCTTGTTTCTCTGACTTTTCATTTGCCTGTTCTCTGTGGGTACATGTAGGTGAAGGCTACCTGTAGCAGCATTTTTTTTTTATGATACTTAGGGCCTCACACTTGTTAGGCAGGTGTTCTACCACTTGATCCACACCTCTAGTCCTCTTTGCTCTGGTTACTTTTGAGATAGGGTCTCACTTTTTTCCTGGGTTGGCCTAGACTGTGATCCTCTAATTTAGACCTCTTGTTATACTTGGGATGACAGGCACATGTCACTGTACCCAGCTGTTAGCTGAAATGGGGTCTCTTGAACTTTTTGCCCCCTGGCCTCAAGCCTCCATTTTCTCAGTCTCTGTCTCCCAAGCTGGTATGATTGCAGCATAAGCTAGCTGCACCCAGAGCGGCACTTTTAATCTGGAATAAAGGACAATTGCCCAACCTGCTAGTTTCTGTATTGCACAGGTTTTCTTCTCTATCTCTGAGACTGTGGAAAACCTCTTATTGTTCTTTAATTGATCTGTAAAAGCAGTGTGGAGAAGAGCAAAAAAGGGCAGAGACTGAGGTGGGCAGGCTGCAGGAGGCTGTGTAAGAGCCAGGCTGGGGGCCGAGGCCTGGTCTGGGGCAGAGAAGGGGTGGTGGATTTGAAGAACACTGCAGAGAGAAAAATGAACAATCGTGGGACTTATGGCCCATTTTCCCATCCCAGAAATCTATGTGGCTGTCATTGTGAATTTGCCTCCCTCACCCTACTCTTTACTACCCCCTCCCCCCCTGCACACACACCCAGTCCTCAGAAAATCCACTGGGAAACAGAAAGGAAAGAGGACATTCCATTCCAATGAGCCACCAGGCCCTTGACTCTTTGGCCTGTTCTCCAACCCCTCCCTGCTTTGCCTTGCCTGATCTCTGCTTCCTCCCCAGGATGAAGACCTCAGAGCAAATTTTCCTTCCTCTCTGTGGACTCTACCAGCTGTTCATAGAGCATCTGAGACCATGCCTCTGGCTTTGGCAGGAGGGAGCCCCTTTTATCCATTCCATTTTAGAGAAGAGGAAACTGAGGCCCCAGCAGTTTAAATAGCTCCACTCCTTCTCTCCCAGCCCACATGCCTGGTGGGCACTTTGGTAGGCTGGCTGGATAAGAAACCCTGCCCCACTTACCAGGAAACACTGAATTCAACAGCCTGTGGGTGGGACTTCCAAGGGTCTCAGAGCTCAGTCTGCTCTGGACTGAGACAGGAAAGAGCACTGGAGGGACCCCCTACCACCACTGCCACCTCAATCCTCCTCTCTAGCCCTGGACTGTCCACAGAACCCTCCTGCAAGGCTTGGTGTAAATGTTGAATTCTCCTTTGGAAATGAGGCAGGGCCTGCCCACTTCTTCCCAGTCCATGGCCTGGAGCCCCAGCTGTAACCAGAGTTTCAGGCCACAGACCCAACTCCAGGGTTCCAATATGTCAGGTCCATCCACTTGCCCCAACACACCAAATAAAGAGACGAGTAGTGGTGAGGGCAGAGAAAGGGGGTTTATTAAGCAGCACGGGTACACCATGGGAAGAGGCAAAGTAAACACTTTGGCCCATCTTTGGTCGGAAATGAACTTTAAGTCTAAATTGAGGAAGAACTGGGCCAGGGGTGAGAGGTGAACATAATTATCATACAGTCCCAGTCACAGGTGTGGTCCAGTTTTCATTATCTCAAGATTGGTCAGGCAAGGCCTGGTCACAATAACAAAGTCATTGATAGCTGCTGTGTGGTTTCTACTCTTGTCACAAGATGTGATCCATCCATCCTGTCCTTCCTGGATTCCAAGGTGGCTGCAAGGTGACTGCAGGAGAGAGTAGCTCAGAGCAAAGATAGATTCAAAATGGAGGCAGGGATGCCAAGCTTTTCTCCTGCTTTTAATCATCCTTCTGGCAGTTTCAGGCCCAAGTGAGCAAAAGCTATTTCTAAGTGCCTGTTGCACAGCTTTCCTTCTCAGAGGGAGGTCCTCGGCAATGCCGCTCCCTCTTTCCCACCAGGCCTCTCGGTGGCTTTTATTCCTTGTAACAAGGCACCAATGAGTGGACTGTGCAGCCCCCATACTGCCTTCTTCAGCCAGGACCGCCTCAGGGCATCTCTAGCTCCCTGAGGGCCAGAGACCTGCAGCCTGCAGCTGTCTGGTGAAAGTCAGATGAGCCGTTCACATTCACGACTGTGCTGGCTCTGCCAGAAAACCCTTGCTACTTACTTCTGAGGCCTCCAGGATTACAGACACAAGGTGGGATGTCCAGCCAACCCTGCTCTCCACCCCCCAAAACTTACAGTATCCATAGGGTCACCCGAGATGGTCCTCAGTTCTGTGCTTCATAGTAGGGTGGCATATACAAAGGACCCGATCAGGACCCTGGTCCCAGGACCCCTCCTTCACCCAGAGACACACCCTTCTATGCAGAACATTGGGTCTGCTCGTCCTGGTGATGGATGGTAAGGTAAAGCAGGGGCAGCTGCCACCCACTGCTTCAGCGGCGGGCTCCATGAGCCTTGTGGAGGTGGTGGTGGTGGTGGAGGTGCAGCTGGTGGTGATAGTTATGGTGCTGGACACCCACACTGGACACATGACCAGGGTGACGATGATGATGGTGATGGTGAAAGTTTCCCAGGAGACCCCGGCCCTGAAAGAGCCGAGGCTGGGCTCGCCGGACAGCTGGGTGGTTCCTCTCCACATCATGGTCCAGTGGTCTGTGGAAAAGGCAGGTGGCCAGCAACAGCAGCAGCAACAGGACAGCCACCACAGCACCAGTGATCCAACCCATGAGGGTCATGCTCCCCACAAGGCCTGGCATCTGGGAGCTGGACAGTGCCTCTCTGCTTAGAGGCTCCAAGCTGCTTCCTTCCCTTCCACAGCCTCTGCTCAGCCCTTAGTCACTGAACTTGGTTGTCTAAGCTCCTGCTGGCTGGAGAGCAGCCAGGGAATGTGGGCGAGGACTGTTTGGACTGCAACTGCCAAGGGCAAGGCTTGAGGGCTGTAAGCTTTGGGGAGGCCTTGCAGGGAAGCTGGATAGAGAAGGAGAACTGTCAGACTGGGTGTGCTGGAGGGGAAAGCTTTGAGTCTAGAGCAAAGAGCTCAAGATTCCCTCTACTCCTGCCACCTGGCTGACAGGGGAGTTACCTCCTTCTCTGGGTTTCCCGTTCCTCTTGTAAAGACAGTACCATGCAGAGATTAAGATCATGGGCTTTGGAACTACACAAGTCACTAGCTAGTGATGTGCACGAATTACTTAGCCTCTCTGTGCCTCAGTTTCTTTGTGTGTAAAATGGCTAATAATAGCACCGACCTTATAGTGTTAGCAGCACTGGGGTTGTCTGTGATCAGAAGACTTCCAAATTATTTGTGTCCCACCAGGAAGAATCCATGGCAGGACCCATGGCTGTAAAGGGAGTTTATTAATAGTTAGGGAATGGAAATGCAAAAGGGAGGATGGTGGGGAACAGGTGGACCCTGGAGGCCAGAGAGCGTGCTTCTCTTCTCCAGGTGCTTTTTAAATCTACACTAACATATGGGAAGGGAAGAACCAGGTGATTCCCATCCAATAATCAATGAGTGGGGCAGGGCACGGGTGGTTCCAGAGCCAGGTGAGGGAAGTCCCTGAGCCAGAGTGTGGTTTACCACCTTAAATTTGGAGGCTGGGGGAGATCATCTGCCTCCATTGACCTTTGAGCTGGGGGATGGGGTGTATATGGGGGATCCCATATATGCCTATGTTAATTCTCAGGTGCCCCACTCATGAGAGAGGAAGTTCCTGTTCTTTCTAATGTATTGTAATTAAAATGGAGTTCTTAAGGTGAGTCAGGGAGGGGTCTCAGTCTCTAATACTAACTACCTCAGTAGGGTTTTCTGAGGATCAAGGAGTTAATATACATAAAGGATTTAAGTAGGCCAGGCACTGTGGCTCACATTCATAATCCCAGCTACTAGGAGTCAGAGATCAGGAGGCTCAAAATTCAAGGCCAGTCCAGGTGAAAAGTTAGCAAGATCAAATCTCAACAAACAGCCAGGTGAGGTGGTACGTGTTTGTAATCCCAGCTACAAGGAAGGCATAGATATGAGGCTTGAGGTCCAAGGCTACCTCTAAAAAAAATCTGAATTCTGATCTGAAAAATATTTAAAGCAAGAAAGGGCTAGAGTCATGGCTCAAATGGTAGAACACTAGCCTAATAATCAAGGGGCCCTGAGTTCAAGCCCCAGTACCACACACACACATACCAAATTAAAAATAAACAGGTACTGCCACATCCTGCCATGGTAGTATTGCAATGGAGTTTGGATTAAAGCGGCTGGGAGACTGTCATCTGAGAGTCAACAACACCTACCATGCAGCGCACAAAGTCCTCCCAGGCTAAGGGTCAGATTAGTGAGCTTCAAGAATGAGGAGTCACTCAGGCAGATCCTTACTGTCCAGGGAGGCCTCCCTTTTCCTACTGGGTGTGGAAGGCTGGCGGGCCAGAAGGCAGGAAGGAGGTAGCTGAGCTCAGACAGGCCAGTCCCCAGTCCACCTTCCTGGTTCCCAAGTCAACAGTCCCAGTGGACCATAAACAGCAGGCTCCTTGCTCTTTCCCAGCTTCCATGTCACAGAGCCTTGGCCATAAATGCCATTCCTGCCTGGTGGAGGACTCGGGCAGTGGGTAGGAAGTGCACAGTCCCTAGCTATCCCTGCCCTGGTTCCAAATACCATCTGTTCATCACAGACAAGCCCTCGGCCTGTCCTGCTCACAGTGTAGAGACAGGTGCTCACTGTCTCCATGGTCAGCCCTGTTGGCTGTGGGCTCGTTGAGCTGCTCTCGAAGCTTTTGCTCATGTGGAATGGGGCCTCCCCAAATCCCCAGCTCTGTGCCTGGATCCTCCAGGGGTCATCCAGGCTCCTCTGGATGAGTACTCCCCTTTCTGCCACCCCAGAGGATGTTTACAAGCCTGGCTTGTAAGTCACAAGCCTGGCTCTGTCAGCTTTGCAGCAACTCCACCCTGGGACCTTGGGCAAAGCCCTTCCCCTGACCCAGCCTTTCCTCCTCTGTAAAGGTCCCAGGGCAGAGGTGACCTCCAGGAACCCTTCCTCTTCTGACCTCCGTCGAAGCTGCTTTCTCTCAGGGAGACTTCAGACCCTTAGTGAAATTCCTCATCAACTCAAAAGGCTAAACATTCCCTTCAGCCAAATTGGGCCCAGGGGGCAGTGGGTTTAATGAATCCTGGGGCTTCTCTGGCCCCTGGGAGAAGTCATTTGAACTTTTAATGATGCTGGAGTAAAGAACTCCTCCTGCAGGCCTGGGGACATAACTTAAGTGGTGGAGCTCTGGTTTAGCAAGCACAAAGTCCTGAGTTCAAACCCTGGTACCACAAAACAAAAAAAAAATTCTTCCTGCAGATGTCTGGGGTCCTAGGAGCCACTGGCTTTGCCTAGAGGAAGTCTGCAAGAAGTAGGAAAAGGATGTTCAAAACTTCTCCAGAGAGGCTCCCACTCCATACTAGCCAGGAGCAGGGCTCTGAAATCTGCATAGCTAAAGGATTTCAGTCCTTTAGAGATGGGGAAACTGAGGCCAGAGAAGGGACGGGACTTGCCTGACACCCCAGCTTTGGGGGGTAGTCTATACCACAGGTAATCAATAAAGCACTACTGGTGGTGTGGGGGGCTGTGCACAGGGAGGGTGTGATGATGTGTAGATGTGGGTGAACCTGAGGGGGCAGGGATTGGTGGAACCCTCCCTCTATCATCTAGAAAAATATAGGACCCCAAAATGGGCATTTTATTGGATGCTTTGGAGACACAAGGGCCCCTGGAAACCTTCATTTTGACCTCCTTGTGACCTTAAAGGGTGGAAAGAAGGAAAAGCAGCAGGGTCAGAAGAAGGACAGTATGAGGATTAGGGCATAACCAATCAGAACGTTTCATGCACAGCCAATCAGAATGCTTTCTGCACACCTAATTTGCATAGAGATTGAGCAACACCCAGGAGAAAATGGATAAAAACCTCAGACCACATGACTTCTCTGCCAAGACACTCAGGACCCCTCCATTCCTACAGGAGCTTTCATTCTTTCCCTTAATAAACTTTCCAACCTCTAGGTTCATCCTTCGTTGTCTGTTCGTGAGACAAGGGTTCTGAGTGCCAACCTCCCTCTGGCTAAATTCCTAAACCAGCAAGGTTGAGTGGAGGCTTTCTCTCCTACACAAACCTCCTGCTTCACTTTGGGCAACTAGGAATGGGAGACTACAGTCTCTAGGACTTCACACGTGACTGCTTGTGTGCAGTAGTATTTCCTACTTTTAATTCTTTCGTCATTGCAATGATAATTTGGGATGGAGGTCTAGTTAAGTGCAAGGGCTTGCAAGACTGATGACTTTAGAGGAACTGGCTATTTTTAAGCATCCCAGGTTCAGAAAAGCTGTCCTGTAGCCTTGTTCTATTTCTCTCCAGAGTGGGATCGTTTGTTTTTGTTTTTGGTTTTTTTTTTGCACACTCCTAAAGCAGCATTCCCCACTGAGGCACAGGGGGTCCAGACCACATGGCTGAAGCCCCTACTAGTCTATTTCAATCCCACACTTTCCAGGGCACCCCCCAACTCAAGCCAGGTACCTGCATGCACATGTACACTTGTGGAACAGCATCACCCCATGGGCGCTCATGCACCCAAAAGTATGTATGTACACAAGTGTGTGTGTGTATGCACATGTGGACGCATGTTCCAGACAGGCTCACAAAACTGCTCATACTGGCTGCAGGTGCCTCTTGGTTGGCCAACACTAGAAACCACAATGTTTTCACTAATTGGTGGCGCCATCTAGTGGTGACACTAAATAAATCACTTCAATTTTGACCTATCAAAAGTTCTAGTGTCCTAATTTTTGTCTATAGATCTCAATTTGAAGGTATGCAAATTTAACCCTTCACATTGCCATCGAAATGGCCAAAGAATTAAAAGTGGGAAAATATTATTCTACACTGGAAGTCAGTGGAGTCTTATTTCAGAAATATTCTGGAATTTCTACAAAATATACAGCACAGGAAGCAGGTTGATGGATGTACTGACTGAGGAAATAATGGGTATTTGTCCTGCTAGAGCCTCCCTAAAACCCTGCCTGGACATCCAAGACTAGGAACAATGGAGAGGTGAGCTCACTAAGGAAAGGCATTGAGGACATTGGCAATGCCAGTCTCTGTTCCCAGAGAGGCTGGCACGCGTGTACCCACACTTATGTATGTACACACTCATGTATAGGGTTTCACCCATCTTTAGGTCTGACAGAAAAGCAGGGGCACTGGCCGGCATGTTCCTAACCCTGCTTCTCATGCCAATTCGAGAAGGGAGACAGTCCAGCTAGCCTGGGGCCGCCAGGCATATCCTGAAAAGAAGTTGTCCAACACAGCAGCATACGCCTCTCCTCAGAAGCATCCTTGCCCTGGTGATGGCCAACGGGGGCTCCCAATCCAAGAAATGAAACCATAAGCAATCGATTTTTTTCTTTATTGTCTCAAATTAACATGTGTGAAAATGATCTATGTAAATTTTTATAGAACCCAATTCAGATCCCAGTCCAAGCAAACACAGATCTAAGCACCCCCCATAAAACTAGCAAATAGAGAAAAAGTTATTAGATATGAGAAAAGACACAAGTTATTGTGTCCTTGTCACTACAGTTGCTAGAATCTAAGAAACAGTAAAATTCCCTCATCTGTATTCTAAATAACGTTCCATATGAGTATTGGGACATATGCAAAAATAGGAACTTTATTTTTAGATTAAAAACTAAATTAGGAAAGACTGTTTTGACAGCCTTCCTTAACTCAGAAAAAGAGGGAAGCTGGGGGTGTAGTAGAATGGTAGAGTGCTTTCCT